CGGAATTGTCAAAGATTATCCAGAGTGTGGCACAGGAATTAAACAAACATTCAGAATTGAGTGTACCAAAAGTTCTTGAGCAAGTGGTAGTACTGCTGGAATCACTGTGTTCAATCAAGAAGGGAATCTGATGGACATAGCCTGTAGTTATTAATAACAAACAAATAAATGACCCAGTTTTTTATGACTCGTCTACACATTTTGAAACAGAAACAATATCATGCACATGGTCCAATGTAACTTTTCTCATAAAACAAGAAAGCGAAGACCAAATAAATTATTGCACCAATAACAACATGCATCTTTTCCGCATCGCCTTCTTGCCTGTGGGTAGAGAATTCTCAGCAACATGTTTTGTAAATTCATTTCAGTTATGGATTCATGGGAGGAGTACTAAATGAACTATCTTACTACTTTCTTTGTTTTGGATTGTATTCATCATCTGCTGAGTATGTCAAACTGGCACGAGCAGTTAATTTCATTTTGAGGATAAGCATTACAGCTGACAACTACTGTTTAAAATTTGAACTGAAGCATGTGTGCAATAACGTCTTTGTTGAAATGTGTTTCAGTATGTTTGCACACCTCCTGTATAAATTAAACATGTTAGCATAATATTCATAATGTAAAAGGTAAAGATAAGAAGTAAGACTGCCCTCTACTTGACCATTACAGACACCAATAAGTAGAAGTGACTGCTTTGGCCATTTTCCCCACAGGGAATTATTCCCAGAGACAGTCTGAATGTGAAATCAGAAATATTCATGCCCCTGCCAGCAAATAAACCATGATTGCACACCTCATACTTAGTGACTGAGGTATCCATTAATTATCAGTATGAAGTCCTGTGAAAATCTTTTGGGATATATTAATATTCTCTGTGATCTTATTTAAATGTAGAGAGCCATGTAGGGGCTGATTAGCCCAAGACCTGTTCTCTTCTAGGGATGGCCTTGTATGCATGCATGGTGGTAATCATATTCAGAATTATTTTAATTAACTTACTGAATTTACCATTAGCATTTGTTTGATTGTTTCTTACTAAATACTTAATTGAATGGCTGTGATGATTCTGAAGTGCAATTTACTTGCAGATCCAATCAAAATTTTGAATAGGTGGAAAAGTTTCTTTAACCAGCTCTTAAATGTTGGCTGGACTGATGATGTTAGATACATTAAAATACATATGGCTGAACTGTTAATGCCAGAACCTAGTTTAGATGAAGCTGAACTAGGCATTGGAAAGTTTAACCAGTTGGTTGGTTAGTAAGTTAGTTAGTTAATGTTTCTGAAGTTGGTACCTAGCTTAAATTTTATATGAACTAACTAAGGAAGTCCTACAGAAGGAATTCTCCAGTGGCTTAAAAATCTGCTTACTATCTTTTTAGCATATCTTGATTGAGAGAAGATGCTTATGTGCTAATTAAACAATCAACCAACTAAACAAATAATTAATTAACTAACCAACTAACAAACAACACTGAATGACCAACCAACTTAACAAGTTCCCAACTACTAACAAACAAACACCATGCAGCAGCCTTCTTAACAAGCCAGTTAAGAAATTCCTCACCTTCTATGTAACCAAAAGGTTTAATACCATCTTCACAAAAGTCTCCCATTGGTCTGTATCCTAAGTTGTATGAAACCTGTACACAACTACATCATACTTACTAAAATACTTACACATATTCCGAAAAACAAAAGCTACACTCAGTTATAGAGTATATAGTGTGCCAGATTTTGTCTATAAAATTAACTGAACTTTAAAGCCATTTTATATATTACCCATTTAGCACCTTACTAAATGTGACATTCCTTTGTCATTAAAATTTAGGGTTACATTACATGATTAAGAAAACAATCATATATGAAAATCTGAAAAGCAAACACAGGCATCATGAAGTTCAGTAGAACCTTTGTACTTTAACACTCTTGACTACTGTGACAAGATACTTTGGTTATAAATATGGCTAGTAGAAACTGACTGATGTTTCATAGGTGTTTACTGCCTCCATCATCAGGGTGACTCATCACCATGATGGAGGCTGTAAGCACCTCTGTAATTCTGGTAAATTTCTACCAGACTACATGGTACAACAGCACAGAAAACAGCCATCTTCATACTTGATAAGAACCTGAAATCTTACCCAGGCTGTGTTGGTACTATTAACTGACAAGGCCACTTGAACACTTGCGCTTAAAAAACACACTAATTAACGTAGCAGACTGCCTTCTTTTGGTTGTTGCTCTCACCTGATAGGGATACATCATATCATGAGGCCCTTCTATTTTGTATGGTCCATTAGGACCACTGTCTCCCATTGGCTCACTACTGTTGGTTAAATTCATTGAAGTAGCTACAGCTGAACCCAAATTTGAAGACCCACCTGCAACAACAAATGGGAATAACTCCATAAATGGTATAGTATCCTCAGAAAAAAACAGCATCATTTTAATTTATGTAGATACTCACTCAATTTCTAAGAGCTTAGTCCCTAAGTATACATAATAAAAAAGAACATACTGCACAGAATAATCATTTCAAAGAGACAAATGTCTAAGAATTAAACAGAAGATGAAGTCTGTTTATTTTGATTATTCCTGTTGCCACGTTGAAAAAATAGGTAAGGCATACACCACGTTCTTCACTTCAAGGCTTTAAAACAGAGACAGACTATGAACCTCAAACCTCACAGAGACAAACTAAGACTGACCTTGGGAAGTAAACTCTAACTTGTACACAGTTCAGAGAAAAATTGTACTGTCAACAGAGATATTTTAAAAGAGGATATACTGCAAGAAGCTTCACTGCTACCAGAAACCTTCAAATAGGCAGCAGACTCAAACTTTTGCTACAGATGTCATGCCATAATAAAATTAGGAGGCATTTACTTTTACACTTCTATGTCTCTGGCAACAAACATTGTGAAATTAACCTACATTTAATTTTTTAACTAAATTTTGATTTGTTACTATTGTTCCCAGATATCGGTATTTTGTCATATTCTCAAAGAACTAATTTGCTAATTTTATAAGATTTTGTTCTGGAGTCTGGTGGCAGGAAATGACTATATACTTGTTTTCTTTCTGCTTATTTTTAGTTCAGCTTCCTTACTAGCAGCTAATACACCTCTTATGTATTTATTTAAGGTATGTATGCTTTTGCCTAATAAATCAACATCATCAACACAGACCAAAAGTATATGTGTCCCACTCAACACCTGTCCATCTTTGTTCTGTCAGACCTTCATAATGGTGTAGTCTAAAGCAAAGTAAAAAGAAATGGCGATAAATAATCTCCTTATTTGAGGCCATTCTGAATAGAAAACACAATAGACAAATGTTTATCTATATGGACTTTACAGGGCAGGAAAAAATAAACAGTTCTTCAATTTATATATAATTACCTTCATACTATTTAACTGCCTCTCTAAAGCTCTGTACTTGCCAGTCCTTGTCAGTGACTGTAAAAAATACTGATCCAGTAATAACTCATATGCATGGGAAATCAAATGAACAGACTATAAAAAATAATATCTAGAAAATGAACATGGTGGGAGAAAAGGAGGATGTTATAACTAAAATATTATGGCACCAGTAAAATGCCAATTTACTTTCATTACAGCTTTTGCATTTTGAAACCTAATAGAAATCAATTATAAATAATTCACAGAGTAAAACAACAAAGTAAAGCTGCCCCATTATATGCCATGTAGGCGCTTGGGGAGAGAGGAGGTATAGCTCCTACTCATTCTTAACCTCAGCGCTAGACACGGGCGAGCGGTCAGTGTCATACCTCAGCTGTGCTTTACCCCAGGGAAAGAACCCCGGTACCCATTGTATAGGAGGCTGGGTGGGCCCCAGAGCTGGTCTGAATGCAGAGGCTAGGGGAAAAATCCTCTGTCCCTCATCAGGGATCCAACATTAGTTGTCCAGTCTATAGTCAGTCATTATACCAAGTGAGCTATCCAGCTCATGCAGAGTGAAAGGAAAAGAAAAAAAAGAAGAAGAAAACAACAGAAACAACAACTAAATATTGTTACATCTAGCCTAATCTTTAAATGGGGAACAGTACTGGAGAACCTGCAGTAGAAGGTACTTACTCATATTTGGATATGGACCAGTGTTATTGAGATCTCCTATGGGGGGTGCAAGTGTAGCATTATGCAGCAGTACTCCACGTGTGCTGTCAGGTGTGTATGCACTGCTTGGTCCTCCACTGTAGTTGTGGTGGTGGTGGTGGTGGTGGTGGTGAGCAAAAGGGTGTGACATGGCTGAAGCATCTCCAGGGCCTGGCAGACTCAGCAAGTTGGCTAAATCTTGCCATCGTTGCTCCATGCTCATTGTTCTCACAAATGGCATGCGGCCCTAAAACACATAAACCCATAACAATGAGTTTCAGTATCATAATGGTATATAAACTCTAAAAGTCTGTGAGCACTGTGGTTACAGTTCTTGCACAAATTCTATCTTTTTACGAGATTTGAGGGTCTCATGGGAGTGAAGATGTTGCTGTTAGTCTTTGCGGTAATAGTGCTCTGTGCACTTGTAGGAAGACACCAATGTACCTCTCAAACATTGGTATCTACCTTTAAGTCCATTTGGTGTTAGCACCCAGAAGACCAACATTAACAACTTATCCTTTCCTGTAAGATTTGAGGTTTTCACAGCGGTGAGTATGAAGATTTCTTCTGGTTTGTTGCGCTGTGTAGTCTGGTCGATGTTAACCAGACTACACAGCGCAACAACCCAGAAGACAGAAATCTTCTTATCCTTTCCTGTTTCATCAAATCACATGTCAAGATTTTTCACTCCATATGCATCATAACTTAGAACAATAGGAATTCATTGTGATATATCGTTATTTGTTACATCACTTATGTTGTTCTTGTCACTGTCACTACTGTTAAAAACACTGGAACATGCAATAGCTTCCACTTATCTGTTGTAGATTGTTACTCACAAGAATATGCTGAACTTCTATATAATTTTGTAAGTAACATTCACCAATAAGCGAAAGTTAACAAGTGTTTCAACGTTTTTGACAATCATGACAACAGAAAGAAAAAAACTGATGAAGTGAACATTTTATAATTTTCTTAATGCTAAGTTTTTACTTATTGTATATGAACTTTCTAACCAAATGGCACGAACAATGATGACAACAACATGACAGTAAATAAGTCAACACGAATAACACAGAAATATAGGAAATAGAAACATATACTGTATTCATATTTATGCAATATTCTACATTTTTAACTCCATTAATGTGACACAACTACTGTTTGCAATTACAGGAATAGTTTGTACCAGGCACATGCTATAACAGGTAATTTATACTGACTGTAATTTTCATACAATTCAATATAAGTCAAACCTAGTATATCACTGTGATGAACAATGTGATTGCATTTGTGAATGCAGGCAGCAAGCATCTCTGTGAAAAATTTGTAAACTTCTATCAGACCAAAGATGGCTGTCTTAGGAGTTGTTGCACTGTGTAGTCTGGTACAAGTTTACTGATGATTCAGAGGTCCTTGCTGCCTCCATCATCAGGGTGACAACCAGAAGACAGCCATCTTCAAATAAAAGATACTTTCCATAAATGTAACAAAGTTGGTAGACAACAGAGCACGACCTGATGAAGAAAGAATTATCAAGCTAATGCATATTCTTAACATGATACTTCCTAGTGGTATACATGGAATAGGATCTCAATAATGACAACACAGGATTTTGCTTCTTCTTTTAAAACAAACCACACCTAATATATTTTTTCAATAGGCTGCAAAATTCTTCTGGGCACTAATCTTTCATGTATCATGTATCAACATAGTGTTATTAACTTCTGTTTGAGGAAAAATATATGATACTAATCAGCAAATGCAATATTTTTTTATTTACCTTATGGAATGTATATGGACCCCTATATACCAAAGCCAAGTACCTAATCTAGGTCTAAAGTACCACAAGACTGTGTAAAATATAAGCCAAGAAATCCATTTACTTTGAGTTTGATATCCGTCAAATGTCTGCAAGACACCAATATATCAGTATGTATCACACTGGTATATAGCTATTCTTACAAGACATGTTTAACACACAAACAGAAACAACATAATAATCCCGCTTCTTTTCATACCACTTTAACAGAAGAGATCCACTAATGCAACTTTCTAATGGAAGACATGTGACTGACCAAATAACAATTGAAGTTGAAATAAGAACAAACCTTTCCCTTTTCCAACAGCTTCAAATAAACGATAAAATCAGCACATTTTGCTCAGTGGTAGAGGCTTTGATTTTTTATGCAAAAGAAAAGAACCGTAACTGCCTTCTATTTAGATTTACATACTTGCATGCTTCAATCCATACACATACAACAGTGGAAAGGTGTACTCCAACAGAGAACACATACTTTCAAAAGCACTCTTTGCTGTTTTGCATAGCTCAATGACCTTCATGTTCATTTACAGCTGATACAGAACTATTGTTGTATAGTTAATCACTCATATCACAAAGAATAGAGTTGAAAATTATTCTTCCTCATACTTATCCATCATTAATCATAACAAAAAAGTTTCATATAAAAACTGTAGATCCCAATTCTCACAATCTATTTTCTAAATATCCATTTTTTATGTTGTGTTTCTGTAACTACTCTACTGGCAGATGAGTATAAACCTTCCTACACACCTCAGGTATGTCAGGTAAAAATATTTTTTTAACACTTTCCTCAAATACTTGCAAGCATACAAAATGATTAAAAATCATAGTAACATAATTATATGATATGTCATGGTAAAATAATTAAATGGAATCTGTAACGTTTTGTTTGTAATGGCAGTGTAAAATATTCTTGGAAAATAAATATCACAGAAATGTGCACATCAGTTTCTAGTGCAGAAGACATTAGCTCAACAAATGACATTCTGGAAAATACTTCCCATACAGACGAATTGTTGAAAATGGTATCAGTATACTTTCAATACCTCCTTTTCTCTCTTTTTTATTTATTTATGTTCTGCTTTGTTTAACATAACTGTAGTTAAAAGCTGGAAGATAATTTGAAAGCATACATGACACCTCATTATGCTTCTGGTAAGTAGTAACATAGAGCACCTCAATTCATGAACATGGAACATTACAGATGTGATGGCTACCTAATAGCAGTGTTATTGGTAAACCCAAAGCAGACAATACACATTGTAGCATTCACACGCTCGCATAATCTTAATACTGTGCTGGAACACAAACTTAATAGCACATATCATTTATGTGAATGTATTCTTATAACATAGTAGTATTAGATTATATCAAATATATGACACAAATCCACCTCAAAACTATAATTTTTTGTGATGACATGCCTCTGCACATACAACCTTTTGATGACAGCTACAGTTACAGTTATAAGAAATTTTTCAGTGGTAGAGGAAAACGTTTTGCACTTCCATCATCAGTAAGCTTTGTCATATCTTTTTTGGAGCAGAGCATCTCAAACACAACAAAGTAAATGTCTTAAAGGACCACATTTAGCCCATAATTTGAATATGATATCCCAGAATAACATATCTATTTTTGACTCCTACTTACCTACCTGTGTAACAAATGGAAAATGTGAGGGCAGATTGGCATAATATAACAACTTCAATTTTTATCATTTTTCATGTGGTCTGTGTCCACCCCATTAATTAAATAGGTTTCAAAAGTTCACATGTGGGTTAAATGTATGCAGAGAGAGCTATTACTACACCTGACATTGATAGATTAAGAAACAGCAATATTAACTGAAGGCCACTGTAGAAGGAATAGCTTCAATCATTTAAGTACTTTTGTTCTCTTATTTTTATTATTCTACAAGACTTATTTATACCTTAGACATCAACATGTCACCTTTTGATTAAGTACTTATAATTTCTTGGCCATTCTTCCTTCCAGTTGTTTCACTATTGTATTCTGTAAACAGACATCTATCCTTTTACAGCAACAATCTTTAACAGAACATTGCATTATTTCACCAGCATGAAATCTTCTCAAAGCCTAACAGGTTGGTTTGCTTGGCAAGTCTCCACACCCAATCATAATAATTCTCCATCAACTCATCCAATCTTAACTACACATACAATATCAAATGGGGCAAAATAAACCGTGTAATTTCAAGTAATATTTTTGTTTTCAAATGCAATCAAATAATTCTTCCAAGCAGGTTTTCCTCGCATTGCACTTAGCATCATCATATTTGTAGTTGGAGTTCAATGAGGCAAATTACTTGAGATAATAAAGAATAATATATTTTAACTTATTATGAATGCATCATATCACCACCTTGTCGAAGGCAATCTGCCGGGTGAGGAGGCTTGCGTGCTCAAATGACCCTTAGGGCTATGCCGGCCTGAGCTTCGGCTCATGGTAGGGTCACCCAAGCCGGACAGGTCTAAGGAGATGCGCTAGACTAAGAGTGATACCCTGGTCCTCCAGGTTGGGGGTTGGGTGTAGGGCTAACAACCTTTCACCTTTAAAAAAAAAATAGGTGTTACGAAAAAATCAACCAAGCCTCGGATCAGGACGGACTCTTTGGCACGACCACGGCAATTGAAAAAGGACATGAGATTTGGTAC